AAACACCCACAAGTGGGGAGAGAAAAGAACAGCAAAGATAGAAAATGTAGATTTTGTCTATGGGGTTGACACTCATTTGCAACCTTTCTAGGAATATTTTCTTTCCTATTGATTTCTTTTTTATTATTCTATATATGATATTCAATTCAATAATACAATACATTGTGTTCTCTGATCAAGTAATTATGACTTCTGGTGCATTTTTTAACGTATGACTCTCTAAAGGTGGATTTATATCTTATACATTTCTATCTCTTTCCTGGTTTAGATGTGGATTCACAACATGCCAGATTTGTGTCACCAGGTGGCACTATTTAACTGAAGATACATTTCTACTAGGTGAATGGAAAGGGTGTGTGTGTGGTAGTGGGGGGGGGGGGAACCCCACCCTACTTTGTCTTTGGTATGAATGGAGTAGAAAGATTGCTCATTTTATCTTACTCTATTTTGTAAATATGTTGTAGAAAGAGTAGTCCAAATTCTCCTTCTATTTACTGGTACTAATAAAATTATTTCAATAGCATTGTACTAATATACTCTGGTAGAGAATTTGACTTATTCAGTATATCTCTATATTTCTTCTTTTTTGTACAATACATATAATATATAAATATTTTTCCTAAAATCTTCCTATACAGTTGAAAAAGTATTTGGTCCTGATGTAATACATTGCACATTTTTAGTCAAATCTAGTTTTATAAAACAGAACCAGAGACACACTGAATGGAAAAACAACAAGGAGTTCTGTGTTATCTTAAAGAATAACAGATTAATTTTGTCATAACCTTTGGTGGACAGAGACCCAAAATGGGTCTCAAATGAATATGTTAGGTCATGTCTACACAGCACGGCTAAAGCCGAAATAAGCTACACAACTTGAGTTATGTTAATTGCGTAGCTTAAGTAAAAATAGCTTATTTCTTCCTTTGGCATTGTCTACCCAGCAAGAAGTCAGAGAAAGAGTCCTCTTCCTCCAACTTCCCTTATTCCATGTAAAATGAAGGTTTTAGCCTTTGGAGTAAGAGTCCTTCAGCTCGACATTATTTTGATATTGTGTTTAAATAATGGCTTGCTTTGTACATGTGTCAGTTATTCTGAAATAACACTGCTGTGCAGACGTAACCTTAGTTTTTAAGGTGCCACAGGACTCCCTAGTTGTTTTTGCCAATACAGACTAACATGTCTACCCATCTGATACTTGACTGAATGGAAAAACATGCATCAAATTATTCTTCTGGATTATATTCAGCATTTATCATTTGCATCTAAAAGATGAGAAATAATCATTTCATTTGTTTACTAGTCAATAGCAGTGTATTGTGAGTAAAACTAGGCAAATTGCAAAGAAGATGATAAGTCTGATGTATCAACCTCATCAATATTTGCCATTCAGAGATCTCAGTAACAGCCTCTCTCCTTGTCAAGCCTGCTACAGCAAATATAAATGTGTTTGTGTCCCTTCTCAATACTCAATAAAGACCATGCAGCTGTTCTCTGTGTCAAAGAGTGTACTAGGCTTTTCAAGTAACAGATGCTTAATTAGGTCAAGACAAAAAGTGATAGTCACTGTATATCAGGCCAAATATGTCTATAGTGATTTGCAGTCATTCACTAGCATGGTTCTGAAATAATAATAGTATTGGGTGGGTTTTTTTTCAAACAATGATATAGGCTTGTTAGGCAGTTGCAAGTATGATTTGGGGTAGCAGGATTTTGTTTCACTCGGATGTTAAAAAACAAATAATCAGAACAGTTTTCTGGAGAAGGTGGAATACTTTAGTACAAACAGCAAGTTAGCTAGCTGCCATATGAGATATTTAACAGCACAGTTGTGAGAGGCAGTGTTTTCTATTTAACTTGTAAAAGGTAGCTTTCAAGGAAGGATTTGCATTGAATACATTTTGGAGAACATCTTCCTTTTGTAACAAATGGGCATGGTTGTCATGACGTGAGTATTAAGGTTGCATAAGAACAGTAGGTTAATTAGTTGTGGGCATGCTGTTCAGTCTCTCAGTGATTGTAGGTGTATTACAATATCACATAGCATTACTAAATCACAAACCCTGCTTATAATTAGGATGTGCACATTATGTATATTTTTTGCCTTGTTCGCTTTTGAGGTGAGCTCTGAGAAGACTGGCCAACTAACAAGTATCCAGCGTAATTATCTATGACAATAAAAGTCCAGTCGTAAAGAAGATATGAATTTCTCTGAATTATTCTACTGAGCTTCCATTGGGCTATGCAGAATTGTTGTAAAGCTTTTTTCTTTCTTATCATTATAAGAGAAATATTCTGAACATCTGGAAGGAACGACTGCTTCTTTGGGCATTTGCATGACTATTTTATTTTTTATGTTTGGCCATTATATTGTGAGAGCATACATAATGTAACCTCCAATTTATTTTTTTCCTCTAACGAAGCTTCTAGTGTGCTTGGTTAAATGACAGGCATCATAGAGAAAAACTATACTTTACAGTATTGTAATTTAGGAAAGGAAATGTCTTATTAAAAACTCTCACAAAAATCTCGGTAATTTTACAACGTTCAGTACACACATGCTATTTTCCTTTTAATTCCCATGAGCATATTATAAATTGTGGAACTGTTAGCTTACAGCTGGGACCTGAAACAGTTTTATAGTTATTTGGCCATTTGAAGGATCCAGGTGTTACATCAGGTATCATTAATTTCATTTTCAAATCTTGATTTTTGTATTAGATTTGTACATTTTCATCTCTCCATAGTCTGATATGTAGATATGCACATAGTGGAAAAGTAAAAAGGAATCTAACTGTGGCTGTTATACTTGTAGCTGTGTATTTAAGATAATTATCTTGAATAGGGTCCTGCACCATAGGCACCACATGGAGATATGTAGTACACCTCATCGTAATTCCAAAGTGCATCACAGAATTCTTGGCATTGGTTGTAGTGCTGCTGGTAGTAGCCAAACCCGATCTTTTACTGCTTATGTTTTCTACTCCTCTGTCTTTACTTCTGTATAGGATTGCCAGATGGTTTCAACAAAAGTACCGGACACACTTGACATTACATACATTACCTCTTATTTAGAAAATACTGGACATTTATATTTTCTCATTTATATTTTCTCAATTTGTTTCCCGAACAGAAAGCTCAAATACTGGACTGTCTGGTTCAAAACCGGACACCTGGCAATCCTACTTTTGTCTCTGCTTCTCTTTACAGTTAATTCATTGTTTCCTACTTTCCTGCCTTTTCTCTGCCTTTCTTTTACCATTTGTTTCTTTGTCCCTTTATTTTTTTTAATCACTGCACATCAGCAGCAAGTAACTCTTTTTGCATATGGAAGTCTGCTAGAATTCTAGTTAGGTCCGCAAGGACATATATAACCCCTTGATGTGATGCCCTACAACTGAACCTACAACTAGTCCTGCTACGGACGGCCTTCAGCTGCCATTATTGTCTCTTTTCCTGTAGCCCTTCAGTATGGCTGAAAACTGATTTATCGGAGAATTTCTTCAAAGGGTGTGAGTAATAAATATACATCAGAAACTAGGAATTATAGAAAACTGATAAAGCAAAGGGACACAATGCAAATTCTGTGACCAGCAGAGTTAAGGATAATAAGGAATTTTAAAATTATAGTAGGAACTAAAAGAATTCTGACAGTAGTATTGGTTCATTACTAGATGGTAGTTGGCTGCATTTTGACAAAATAAGATTAAACTAAAATATAAGTATAAAACACAGGAAGTTCTGAATATATACATTTATATGTAAAATCTGTCCTATGGAGTTTGATGGCAGATTCCACATTTATAAGGCACTGCTGAGAAATGAAGCCCCAAATTAGACACAACTCTACAGATTCTTGTTGATGCAGTGATTGGATCTCAGGGAGAGTATACACACTCTAATCAGATACATGGAAGATTGCAAAGGTAATCCTGCTCCATCCTGGTCAGGCTCCATGTACTTCTGAAACCGAGTATCTTGGTTTTTAGTTACAATTTAACAGAACACCAGTATATTTTTCTGCCAACAAATTGTTACTGAATAGCACTGAAATGAACCCTATCACATTATAACTATCACCTCTATAACATAAGCTAATTCTGAACCTTTAGCTCACATGTTGAAATATCTAGTGATACAGTTAACAAATAAATAACTAAAGGGCTGCTGGGCATCATGCAGCTTTGTCTAGTTAGGAGCCTTTTCTACATATTGTATTTATTGTAATAAAATGTTTTCTCTCTCAGGTTTTCTCCCTCCCAAAGTTCAAGTTCAAGACACTGTTCATAACAGACGTCATCAGTACAGAGCTATGAAATGACACTGGAAATGATTTAGTATGTGCTTATTGAGTAAGACTTTCAGATATAGACATATAAATTACCCTTTTTAACCGTCCATCCTTATCAGGGGCTTGTTCTTGTGAGTGCTTACGTGATTCTACTCAACTTATGAGATTGGACTATAAGGGTACGTCTACACATCAGGGATAAAGTCGAATTAAGCTATGCAACTTCAGCTACATCAGTTGCATAGCTTAAGTTGAAATAGCTTAACTCAGCTTTAGGCACTGCCTACATAGCAGGACGTCGAAGGTAGAACACTCTTCCTTCGACTTCCCTTACTCCTCATAAAATGAGGGTTACGATGAGTTGGAGTAAGTCCTCCAGCTTGACATTATTTCGAAATAAAGGCTTGTAGTGTAGACATGCACTATGTTATTTCAGAATAACATCGGTTATTCCAAAATAATGCTGCTGTGTATTCGTACCCTAAGAGATGAAGAAGAAGCCAAACAGAAAATGCCTAGCTGAGTAAGAACTGACATTATTCCTTTTTTCATTCCTGTTGTTGACATTCCCATCTGGAGGCTGGTTAAATCAGGTTTTAAGTATATTAACAGCATAATATTTTAAAAGGGAAATGGTGCTGATAATTACTTCAGTGGCTTCTTGCAAGATGGTGGTAAAAATACAAAAAAATTCCTCTTCGTTCCCAAGATATCTTCACAGAGAAGTTGACTTCTAGTCGTCGCTGGCTTGGGCAATCGGGTCTGTTTGATCCTCATTAAATCCCCAGGGCAGTTCTTCCACCCATGGCCAAATTATTGGTAAGTGAATTTTTAAATTAAATATTACAACATTTTAATATTAAACGATGTTAGTATATTTTACAGTAATTACATTACTGTCATTTTTTTTGCCTTTATAAATTGTTATATCTTTGGCAAAACTAGTGGAGACTAGCTATAAGAGGACTATGAAAGGGATATATTAATTCAAGGTCAAATATACTCATATTGCCTAAAGATGTTCATCGTTTGCAAATGGGAAATATTAATACTTTTTTATTTTTTCAGTTTTGTGAAAATGAGGATGAGGAGAGATGAACCCAAGGTTATAGACCGTGCAGATTAGTAGGAACATCTGACTCTTGAGGGGAAAAATAACAGGTAAACTCTTTCCTGTAACAGTACATTAAGATCAACCAGCAAAAGGTATTATTTAACAATTATTTTTGTTGATAAGTTTACATAGAAAGGATATGCGATTATAAGAACTTTAAATGTACCTCTTATTTTAATAAGCTAGTGATAACTGCTAGAGTTATATAAAAAAATTCATTCTAAAAGCAAAAATAGGTGTAATTTTTATCTTAATAATCTTGATTCAACTACAGGCTGGAAATTTCTTCAGCAGTATTTCTGTTCTTTCAGTCTAAAGGACTTTGAGCACCATGATCATTCATCTTTCAGTCTTGGATCTAAAATTTCCCAATTACTGTGTCTCCACTGAGACTCATTCACAGCAGAAGATCAGAAATTAGATCAGATTTGGACATCCAAATGGGCAATAACAGAATGTCAGGGTTATGGTGGGCTTAGGTAAGGCATGGGTTTAGTAGGGATCAGCTGAATTCTAGTAGTCCAAAAGGGTGTTAGATTTTCCTTCCCATTATAATCTTGTGCCACAAACATTTAAATGAGAAATTTACATTTTGTGGGACAAAGTCAAAATTGTACTTGGCCAGCTGGATTCTGTCTCTGATGAATGCAAAGTCTCATTGCGCTGATAATTAAGCTTATGAGTTAACATTCTGTTCAGATGTATAAGGAAAGCTCATACGTCTCTTGGTGCTATTGTTTGTTTGCTCCCTTCTTTCTGGCTTAGCAAGGCGAACCTGCATCAGTTTAGATTGCCAAGAGAATCTTCTAATTAATAAGAGCAAATCACTTCATTTCCTTGTCCCCTCCTAGTTGTTGAGAAAACAGTAGTTGTGTGATTCCATCACATCTCCACTAATCTTGAAGATAGGTTTGATATCATTTCTGTGTGGTGTTACTAAAGGATTAGAAAGAAGAATTATTTCTCTGTGGCTACATTTATACATCTGTTCCTCATTTTTTTTCAGGAAGAACAGCTCTTGCGCAAGAGGGAGTTTTTGTGCAAAAAGGAGCCGTCTATACAGCTCCTTTTTGCACCAAAGCCTTTTGCATAAAAAGGAGCCATCTACACTGGTCTACAGGAGCTGGGTAGACCGCTCCTTTTTGCACAAAAACCCCTTGTGCAAACACGACGGCTCATTAAGTATGCAAACGAGGCATGGCAATATTCCCTGCTTCACCTCATTTACATATTTTCTTGTGCAAGAGAGTGCAGTATAGATGTAGTCATGTTGTATATACTCTTCCAACTTCTAGTAGTGTAGAAATGAAATAAGATAGATCTTCAAGTTATTTAATCTCATTTTTTAGGTGGTAAGATGTGTGTCTCTGAAAATATATGGGTGCAGGCTGAAAATACATTCACATACTAGTATTAATGGTCTTTCTGTAATCTTGAGGGAGTGCCCCTATCTTGTGCTAGATTCTGATCCGTACAAGAGGAGGATCAGGTCCACCTGCAATTAGAAGATAGACCAGCTGGAGAGCTCAGTAACCTGTATAAGCAAGGGTAGCAATTGACAGAAGGGTAGACCATGGTGGGGAGAACCAGGAAACAGACAGGACCAGAGGTAGTGATGGGAGAGAGACATTATGCAGATTAGGGGAGGGAGAAAAAGGATATGAGAGAGAGAGAAATCAGGAGAGCTGTGATTGGAAGAAAATGGGATAGGGGTAGCTTGGTGAGGGAGAGAATGGGAAATCAGGGACAGAAGAATAGGAAAATAGGAAAGAGCAGAGAAGTATGGAGAATAGGAAAGAGCAGGATAAAAAGATGGAGGAAAGGTCCTGGGGAAGACTAACAGAAAAGATGAAGTGAAGGAGAGAAAATAATAAAAAGGAGGAAAAACAAGGAAGAAAGGAAAAAGAGAATGGTGAGATTGGAGGATGAAAAACAAGAAGACAAGACAGAAGAGAGAAAGAACCAACTCAGTACTTTCAGTGTAGACTTTTGTTACATCTTTTCATTTGCTTTTTTTTTGGAGGCAGGTTTATTTGCATTGGAGAAAGTTTGGGGTGCAAATTGTGTAAGAAGTTCATTTTAAGAATGGAGTGTGTGTGTGTGTGTGTGTGTGTGTGTGTGTGTGTGTGTGTGTTGATTGTTCCTGGGATAAATCTGTGCCAAAACATTAAAAATTCTGCATACTTTATTGTAAAATTCTGAATATTTTATTTGTCAAAATAATAGTATAATAATGCCAGTTTCAATTTTGATAATATATTTCAAAATATCTGTCAGCAAGTATGTCTATAACAAATACAGACAACAAAAAAGATTAAGGAAATGTTTCCTGACAAACGGGTTCCTTACTCAGCATGTCAAGTAATAATTATTTTAAACTACAATATAGAAACATATTTCCTGTACCTCTCAGAAGAAGTGTAGAGGCTTGTGTGAGTCAGAGGAAACAGAGAACCTGAGGGGGAGGGAAGTAATTGTTCAAAAGGATCCTGGATGTGAACCTGGAGAGTTGTTGGATGTGGTTGGGAGAAGTATGAAACGGGTTCTTTTTTTGTGGTAGGAAAGGATTATTAGCCCCTCCCATTGAGTCAGGAACATCAGCTCCTGTCCTCATGTTTCTCTGACCATTCACTCCCCATTTAGCCAGACATAGCTGCACATATACCCATGTAGTCCTGTACCCCCATTCTCATTCAAGCTTGTCTTGATGTTTCCTTCACCTCCCCACCAGCATCAGATATTCTGAGGAGGGAAGAATCTGTGGTAGACATTAATTCTATGCTTGCACAGTGGTGTAGAATTCCCATTGAAGTGGTGGATGTTCCAACTGGCCAGAAGGTGAGTGAGGCCAGTCCTCAGGCTAATTATGAACCTGAGGGAGAGGGAATGTACTGGCTCTTCCTGCCCCAGGCTATGTCTAGATTACGGGGTTTTTCTGGGAACAAACACGTGGAAAAGTGGGATCCAGTGGATATAGTATACTTGGGTTTCCAGAAAGCCATTGACAAGGTCCCTCACCAAAGGCTCTTAAGTAAAGTAAGTTGTCATGGAATAAGAGGGAAAGCACTTTCATGCATTGATAACTAGTTAAAAGACAGGAAACAAAGGGTAGGAATAAGTTGTAAGTTTTCCAAGTGGAGAGAAGTAACTAGTGGGGTCCACCAAAAGTTTATCCTGGGACTAATCCTATTCAATTTATTTATAAATGATCTAGAGAAAGGGGTAAACAGTGAGGTGGCAAAATTTGCAGATGATACCAAACTTCTCAAGATAGTTCAGACCAAAGCAGACTGTGAAGTGCTTCAAAAAGATTTCACCAAACTAAATGATTGGGCAACAAAATGGCAAATGAAATTTAATGTTGATAAATGTAAAGTACAGGCAGTCCCCGGGTTACGTGGATCCGACTTACATCGGATCCCTACTTAAGAACGGGGTGAGGGAACCCCGAACTAGCTGCGTCCCCCCCCAGCAGACCGCCGAGACGCGCCACGGCGGTCCTGCCGCCCACGTCCTCCGCAGCGAGAAAAGCCGCGTTTGTAAGTACGGATCCGACATAAGTCGGATTCGCGTAACCCGGGGACTGTCTGTATTTGTTTCCAAAGAAACTGGCCATGAATTAAGAAAGCTCTTCATATGCACATTTTATGTGATAATATTGCTATCTATAGCCACATTATCCCATGTTTCTTACATTGTTTTAATTATATAAACATTTATAGTCTGCAGCATTTATAGTCTTTTGCAGAGCACAAACTACTCCCACTAAATTAACAATTCCCTATATTACAAATGTTGATACTAAGCCAACAGGGAAGATAATAGTACACTCTGAACTCTGGGATGCATAAAGCTTCATTACGGAGGCTGTCCATTTTGAATCAATGACTCAAGACTGAAATGCATTGTGGTCAAGGATAGAGGCACATGGTGTATATTATATTTTAATTGCTCTAAAAATTCTACATCAGTCTGTAGCTACCACCTGCGTTGAGGCTAGAGGAATATTTAATCAACTATGACTTGTGTCAAACTGCTGAAGATGAACAGGAGATTGTGGAGCCACTAGCCTAATGCCCTTAGCTAAAATATTAGGTTCACTACTTCATGAATAAAGTTAGCTTGACATATAAATGATGATACAGGTAGACAGGACAAAGATGATATCAGAGAAACTGAGGACAAAAGATGTCAAAGTAGCTATGGTAGACAGAAGGACAAGGACATAGTATTTTTTAAAAAGATCAGTATGTCCAGTTTTCTCCTTGGTCCATGCTTAGTGTAAATAGGACTGACTTACTCCTAAGAAATGGGCAGTTACAGTTAAGGCCTCTAACCAAATATGGCCTTACTTAAATCATGACTCTGCTTGTTTTAATCCTTAGAACAGGGAGAAGGGCATTGTTATTTTTTGAAATTCTTCGGTGGGGGGACTTTTCTTTGGCTTTCTATTTAATAACATTTGAATAGAGTTTGTGCAGTGTTGTTTCATGTCCTCAAATTTTCTAGTAAAGTCTAAGAGAGCAGCTGCATAGCCTGTAATTATGTAGCAAGTAATACGGGACTTTTTTTTCTTGAGGAAGTGAAGAGATTTGCAATTACAAGTTAAAATTTATGACATGCCATAATAACTGTTTAAACCTTTTACACAGAAGATAGCAGTGCCAGCTCTTCATGACAGTAAGGCTACCTCAGAGAATGTATTTATCAGTTGCCTTAAATATATCTTAAGTAGCAAGCAGCTCTGCCTCGGGCTTCCTGTAGTCAGCCGCTGGTCAGTTTCAGCAGCAGCTGAATCGGGGACACCTGGGGTACAATATGTACCAGTTCCAACTTACATACAAATTCAACTTAAGAACAAACCTACAGTCCCTATCTTGTACGTAACCCGGGGACTACCTGTAATGCACATTGGAAAAAATAATCCCAACTATATATACAATATGATGAGGACTAATTTGGCTACAACTACTCCTGAGAAAGATCTTGGAGTCATTGTGGATAGTTCTCTGAAAATATCCACTCAGTGTGCAGCATCAGTTCGAAA